TGAGAGCAGCTAGTTGCCACTAAAGTGAGGAAGAAACCTAGAGATGTCATATATATATATATATTTAGGTCTCTGTAAGTTCTACCTAACCAGAATAGTCAAGTCTGTCAAGTCAAACCCACTGTACAGCACTAGAAAGATCACTGCAGGAAGCCTGCTATGGAACAAATCCAAACTTGATCAAACACAAGTCAACTATTGACAGATAAGTCAAATACAGACTTACAAAACATATGGTATATGCTGTTTGTGGTGCTCACAGGGACAAGCAGAAGCCCACGCAAAATGGTAAGCTTATTTGGTTGTGAAAGGATTACCCCGGAGAGTAAAACCCACAGAATCACACCAAATTGGTAGGTGGGTTTTGTAAAACCTCGGAGGTTTCTTGCGCTGAAACTTTCAATGAAAACTTTTCATTGATATAGTGAGATGTCAGCTGAGAATCTCAAATACAGATAGTTCTGAGGTACAGAACATACATCATACAGGCCCAGCCTGGCAGGCATCCTTAGTCCGTGGTCTTGGGTGCTGAGACCTTAATAAAAAGGCAGCTCCATTCATCCTTTGTTGAGACTTCTAGGGATAACACCAAAGTGTCCTCTACTGGACAAAGGAACTTGCCTATAACCAACCCATGTCATGCAACCATGTGATAGCAACATACTGTGGCTACTGCCTATCTAGCTAGGACCGAACCAGTGATTTAAAGACAATTTAGATTATTGTGATGCAAACATTCTGAAATGAACCACAAATTGCCTTGGAAGAAGGGAGCAGGGAACAATTTTTATGTCAAGATTCAAGCAAGACATAACTCTTGTTTTCCTGATCTAGGCTGACGTGTTGGGTTTTCTAAAGAGCTACACTGACAGAGAAAATGAAAAATTCTTCTCCCCTCCAACAGAAATCCTAGAAGGCAGCTTGGCAGTGCTGGCAAATGTGAAATACTCTGCTAAAATAAGAAGCTAAGCAAAAAGGTAACAAGGGCTAATGTGGCCCAGACAGCTTAGCATCGTATCTGGAAAATAACTTGGCATCCCACTTCACAGCTACATCCAAACAGAGAGATCAGCTCTGTTTGCTACATCAAACATGGCTCAGACTTCTTTTTCTCTCTTCCTCTCTCTTTAAACATAAATAGTTCCAGGCTCTTAAATAAATTAGCTCAATTTTGGTTATACAAGCTGTTTCATTTTTCCTCCAAAAGGGAATATGGATGTTTGTTTTACAAGTGTAAATAAAATATAAACAGAGATTTTCCATTGCATAGTGATCCTTTCCAGTAGGTAATGATCAGTGCTATGTCTATTTTTCTTTCTTCTCCTGTACTTGGGGATCACAGCATTATTATCACTACTTCTGATGGGAAACGGGTGAAAATCCGTGCAGTAAGGGGAGGTTTCCTTGAACTTATTGTCCATAATAGCAAAGTAATAGATTTAAAATGCATAGAAAATACCTGCAACAAAATTACTTATCGTTGTTAATAATTTTGTTCTGCTCTCTTTATGTGGAGGTGTTGCATGGGATATGTGAACTCTAGAAAGGCTAATTAATGAGAGACTAGCTCTTAAAAGCCCTACAAGCGCTTACCACTGGCTCTACTGGGACTGTTCCTAGGAGTCAAGTGGTGTCTATCTAGATTATGTTGCTGCTGGGATTTTTTGGCACGAAGATAGTTACAATAGTGTAGCTCTAGGATAAAAAATGCATCATGCAGTAACAATAAGACTGTAAGCAGAAGGTTCACCCTACCTTCAAACTGTGGCAAGTTATTATGTGTATTAGCGTGGAAAGTTTTGATTGTGCTTTCAAAGATGCAAAACCAAAGTAGGTCTTAAGTACTTCCACGGTGGGATGTGAAGTTTGGCTTTAGGGCATGATTAGCCAAGGGCAGGGGTTTTTCTTTTCAATATCACAGTGATGCTTCACATCCTTCCTAAAACTGGCTGGGGTGAGGTGTCTCTGGCTTTGAATCTTTCCCTAGCATGGAGCAGATTATTGCTATTATTATTGATTTATGTCATGCCTGTCTGCTTCCAGCCTCAAAACACTTTACTAAGTTACAATATACATAGGAATCATTTCACATCAACCACCACCACGCTGTAGCCTACTCTGGAGGGAAACTGAAGGGAGCCATTAGGATGGTGCCTGCAACATTAAACAACAATCCAGGAGAGGAAGTAAAGAATACTCTGGCTCCTTAAAGCAATGGCTCAACAGAATGCAGTCACTGAACTGCCATCCAGCTGGGACACCAAAGTCAATACCCATTCACCGTGTGTGGTTAAAATTAAATCTCCTAATGAAGTGAGATGGTTTTAGTGGTTAGAGAGTGAGTGCAAAGTATTATTCTCCTGTATTATTATTTGTAAGTTATACAGCTAACAAGGGAAAAGATCACACACAGGAAAACAGCAGACTGTTAGATAATGTTCCAAGCCCAGTTTCTAAATGACATTTGGGCACATAAAACTTTGGAAAAAGTATGTTAAAAAAAAAAAAAAGAAAAAGAAAAGATGGCACATAAGAAAGGAATTGGCAGTTTCACACTCTTTTTAGGGAACTAAACTGAACAGAAGTGATGTCAGGTTTTATCCCCTATAATTCAGAGCCAGAGAAAAGAACATTATTAGCTTCTGTTAATGAGCAGGTATTCCCTAAACACTGCTGCAAATGCTCCTGAATTTTAATTTGCTTAGAAAAAGAAATGGTAAAGTATTGAGGGGAAAAAAACTAACAGCTTATTCGCTTCCCTGAATTAGTAAAGTGCTTAGATAGTTTTCTGGGAGAAAGTTTATATATATCTGACTAAAAAGATCCTCTCACAATGTTATCAAACTCTCCTTTCAGGGCTAGTAATTGCTAGCTGGTTCTAATCATTCTTGCAAGTGATCATTTGAAAGGTTCATTTTATGACCCCTCAAAGTAGCACAAAGAATCTCACTCCATAATGTAATAAACAATTCTACAAGCAGTGCTTAATTAATTCCCGAAAGTCACCAAAAGGAGCTATTAATGATCTTTCTTTTTATCTAACCATAAATATACAAGTCTCCTGGGATAAAGGATTTTAAAAGAACATTCTGGCAAAACTAACTGTCAACTTGATAAAGCATAAAATGATCACCAGTGGGGGTAACTCGAACTACAGCGGCAATGCTACCTAGTCTGATTAGAACGTTAGGTTGGGTCGGATTAAATTTCTCTGAATGTTGTGCTTACCAAAAAGACGACAGAACTGACACGGGGCAAAACAGTCTCAAGCCAAGTGAATACATAGAAGAAATGCACTACAAGCTTTAGAAAATGTTTTATGAAGAATCATTTCTATTTGGGAATTTGCTTTACTGTGCAAACATCAATAGCCATTATAATTTAAGTGTGGGCAACATTTCAATGTTCTTTAATACACGTGTTACAAAGAACAGGCTGATATTTTGAAGGGAACTTCAATGTTTTAGGAGCCCAAGTATCATTTTCACAAGTAAATCAGGCAGTAGGAAGCCCTTAAATGAAATTTAGTCTCCTGGCAACCCAAACCATTGCTGAAAATTAGATTTAGGCTTCTAAAGGGCTTTGATGTTTTTGAAAATCACGCTTCCTGCAGCACTGCACAGCTGACTAGGTGTAATACAGTAATTTACCCCTCCACTGAGGCTATCAGAATGGAATCACTTTGATGGCTTTAGTGAAGTCTGAGAGGTTGTTGGGTTTTTTCCTTACACTGTAAAAAAATTATTTACTGGCCATAGCCAGTAGTGATGGGAATCTGTGACCAGACACAGGAGGAGGAAAGAAAGAGAGAATCTGCCTTTTCCAAAATAAACTCATGCAATCCTTTGGGTGCTTATGCTTGATGCCAGTGGAGCCTATGCACTGGCATGTCCCACCTTCAGAACTGTTCCCTGAGCTACTGGACCCTCTGTGGGCTGGGGCTTTCTGAATCCCTCCTGTGACACCCACACATGGAAACATGAAATAAACTGCCCCACAACACAGCCATTATGGTTCTTGCCATGTGTGTGGAAAGCCAAGGTTCAAATTTCTCTCATAGGAGTTTTTAATTATTAATACAAAGAAACAAACACAGCAGTAAACATTGAGAGACACAGTGGGAAATAACTAAAAGGACTTCCAGGCTCCTCATTCCTTGACCCCTCTGGGCTGGGCAAAGAAGGCCTCAGAGCTTCAGGACAGAGCTTTCCGGCCCTTGACCTGTGGGAAGACTCAGGCTCCCACTGGAACATGGAGGCTGCCGCACATTGCTGCACTTAACACTGAAGAACTTATTGTTCCAAACATGTTAGAAAACCTAGGAGTTCCTTTAAGCAGGAAATTTTAAAATTTCTTGGTTTTGTTCTAATCTTCAATAAAACATTTTTTGTTATTTTAATGTTGGAATTTCCTGTGGAACAGAAATTCTGTTTTAAAACCATTTCTATTCAACAGTGCTATTCAGATGGAAGCATTTTCCTATTCATTCCACTTTGCAACTAACTGGTGCCACCCCAAATGTATTGCTCTTCCAAGAATGATGTGGCAGCCCTGGAATAGCTAATTAGTTGGGCTGTATGATGCCTCTGCCAAAAGTTTCAGCTTCCAGAGGCATTCCTTTAAGGAATGGTGGTGTGGGTTTGGCATTTACAAGGATACACATGGTTTTAGGAGCCCACAGGCACCAAAAGTTAGTTTGTGTTTTATAACTGCTCATCTCAACCCAGTCATTGAGCTGATGTCCTAACCACAGTGAGTCAAGCAAACTTCTTCAAAGCACTCATGGAGAAATCTTTTGGTCAATTTATTTTTCTTTTTTTAATAAAGACTTTGTCTTTGGGGAATCTTTCAAGAAAATTCCACTTCTATGGCTATTAACTGAGAAAATAATTCAAACGTTATTGGCATTGTAATAAATCTCTTGCAGATAAATACCATTGCATTTAGCCCTTGAAGTTTTGTACATTGATAACATAAATGAAAGATGTCTAAATCAGTACCTTTATACTTGGTCACCACAGCTGAGTTGACACTCAGAGGTTCTTGGAAGGTGACAGTGAGTGATGTACTGCTTGTTACCATGAGACAGACATTGGTTGGCGCCTCAGGGGCTCCTGGGAGAGAAGAGAAAACATCAGCTCTTCAACACAACAAATCCTATTCAAACAATGTTTCTGAGTCTTCAAAGAACCCACTGAAAATCACCCTGCAATTGTGAGCTTTGCGTTGTAGGTGTTTGTGTTCTCTGCCTTTTGAGCATTTTAATTAGTGCCCCTGCTAACAATATCCTGCAGACACCATTTGTTTCTATCATGGTTTTTGGCTCCTTTCAGTTAAAAATATCTTCCTGCATATATGTAACCCAATAAAACAGATTCATGCTAATTATGTCAATGAAAAGCCCCTATAAATCTCTTGGGGTGGGGAGGAGGAGAGAGAAAGGACAAAACCACAAAGAGCTAATTAAACCTTTATGGTTTCACTCACAAGCTCAAATTATCAAATCACAGAACGCATTTTTACATTATTATGATGCAGAAATTGCAAATTCCACATATGTGTCAGTGTAAAAGTTCCAAAATACAGTTGTCAGTTGAGGCCTAATTTTACTTTTATTTTTTAAAGGCTCAATTCACAGAATATCAATCAGACTCAATTCAGAAATCAGGCAAAACATGTCATGAGTAACTGCTGGAATTGTTTTAAAAAAATCATTATATTAGTTGAAGCAGGAAATACAGCAGTAATGTATCTAACGTAAGGAGCACTACATCTGTCTTGAAGAAGTAATCTTAAAATGCAATGAATTGGAGAAAATAATTTCTAAGTGCGTCTATAAGGGTTGTAAAAATGGTAATGGCAATGATTGTATTTCATCAAATAGGATACAGCTAAAAGATCTACACGTGAAACAATTAAAGCCTGTTTATTCCTTCCTATGGCCCCAAATTCACATTTACTTTGGGTACAGGGTCACTTGTACAACTGTTTAAAGTGGCCTGATCTGTGACTATGCTGATAAAATGTTAGATGTGGAGGCCAAAGTTAAAATGAATTTTTGTAAGGAAAATGAAATTCCATTGTTTGATCATTCTGAATCAGAATAAGTTAAAAAAAAATAGTCACAACAGAACAAAGGCCAATGTCCCCCTCTTCCTCCCTATTCACGTATCTTTTTCTCATCATCCTGTTTTAAACTTTGAGCACACTAAATGAGATAGAGGAGTAAATGTGAAGAAAAATGAGCAAGACCAAATCATTAGATCCTGAACTCATCTTACCAATTTTATGCAGCCCACTCCTAAGAGTTACGAGTTTGTCGCTCTCAGATATGTGGCCCTCTATTGTTCTGATATCCCTCATTTGTGGGAAGGCCGTTTAGCCATATGCCTCATTTCTTTCACCCTAACATTAGCCTGCTTCACATCAGTGCTGAGGATCACTTGATGAGAGCATGTTTGCTCAACAAAGGCAAAGGGTTCCCAGTTGCACAGTTCATCTCAGATTTTGCAGCTGATGTCTTCTACTTACTAGCATGCTCGTAGCCTGCTTTCATGCGCTTGTATAGCCTGTATCTCCATTCCCATGCTTTTAGTTGCTTCTCTTTCTCTGTGTTGTCTGTACCAAGGTCTTCATTCACCACTTGTGCAGACAATTCAGTAATTCGCTGCTGTGCTTCCTGGACCAATGTACTCAGATGCACTGACCTGCTTTCCATGTTAACAACTACCAAGAGAAGGGAAAAGTAATTGCTTGGTGGACTTATGTGACAAAATTCTGGCTTTATGCATTCTGGTATAACACATACAAGGTTAAATACTTGAACACTTTGCTTTCTAGTCATTATCTTGTCATCAAGAGTATATATATGTTTTAAACTGGTGGAATATTAAAAACCAAACTGAAATAATAAAACATTTGGTTTCTATCCAATTCACATTTCACCATAATACCATAAGCTTTCGTAGAAAAAAGGTTTTTACTGATTATAAACACATACAATAAAGCAAAGAGAGATCTCATTGGCAAAATTAAGAATGAGAGTTCTGTGTGTAAGAGCTGTGGCTGGTATAGAATGGATCTTTTTCCAGGTTTTCATTGTGCCACAATTTTGCCTGTGTAATGCCTAATGAGTCCTCTGACAGGCTGGACAGATAGTGAGCAGCTTGACACAGAGATTTTGTTTTGCTCCAGTGCTCAGAATAATTTTAATTTGACATTTAGCAGTTCAGATTGTCTGTCTGAACTACTCTGTGCAACGCAAAGGGGAAAAGGAAGATCACGTAAGTTACAAACTAAAACAGCCCAAGTCCACAAGACTGCCCTAAACCAGCCCCTTGTTATACATGAAAAGTGATGAATCAAGCCCTCTTCTCAGCAATGTTCTTGGCCTGAAATTGTTCAAATTATTTGCAGTTTAGAAAATAGGGCTTGTAAGGGTATTTACCTGAAAATAAATGCAGCCACTGATCTGATGTGCAGTAAGAAGGAAATAGTGTACAAGAGATGTAATTCTGAAATCACAGAAAATTACTTTTTTCTGCTATTTTTTTTCTCTGGTGTCTGGTATTTTTGCAGAAGAGCTCTTAGAGAGTCTTCATTTAAAAGGCCCCTATTTACTGAAAGCACTGTCCTAGCAAAAGCTAAACAGCACAAGCTGCTCTTAGCAATGACGGGGAGTTGCTCTCCTGGGACAGCCAGGCTCTATTTTTCCCTAAGGATTTTAGAGGACAGCATAAGTCTTGCAAAGGATGCACTGGTCACTCACTTGCATGAGCAGTAGCAATTTCTGAAAACTGTACCATACGTAGGACCAAGACTCTGAAAGGTTTTTGACATCAAAACACCACAGGAGCAAAGATGTTTGTGCATATGCACGTGTCATTCCTAAACCAGAATCATAAGGATTATGGGACAGAGGAGATTGGAAAGGACATTCTTTAGTCCAACCTCCATGTTCCAAACGAAGTCAGCTGTGAGGTCTGACCAAGTTACTGAAGCCAATACCTGTCTGGTCTTGAGAACTTCCCAGGATTGAAGCTTTACAGACTCTAGGCAACCTAGTCCACTTCTTTACTGTCCTTAAGGTGAAAAGGCACATCTTTTATCCAGTCTAAACCTCTCATTTTATTTGCCCTCTGTCTCTCATAACAGTATCACAATTGAAGTTCAGCAGAGTCCAAGAATAACCCCACATACTGATAGGAAAAGTGCCATGGGATCGTTAAAGCCACAGGAGGAGAGCAAATTACTCAACACTTCTGACATCCAAAAGGTTGTTTTTGAAGAATGTTTGTCTCCAAGACTTTGCTTTCAGAAGCTGGCTGGAAGCCATCCTTGAAGTTTGATCATTCTTCATATGGACATCAGAGACATATGGCCCAGCTTACTGGAATGTTCTGGTATCCTCAGAACTGCCTATTTACTGGGAGGCCAAAGGTGATATGGTTTCCTGGATCTAAGCCTACGATAAGCATGCAACATATCCGATAGCACAACAGGGCTGAAGAAGGAGATTTTATGTGCCAGAACTTCAGGTAATTGAGAACTGGCATCAATTCAAGTTCTCACTAAGGACCTGGCTCTATCTGTTTAATCAAGATTCTGATCCACAATTGTCAGGTCTTGGAAATGCGTCTGATCAGCCACTGGAAATTTTAATCTTATTTTCATTTGGGTTCACATGAGCAAACCAAGCCAAACAACGAGTATGATGAATAAGAGGAACTGAAAAGGTAACACAGTGGACTTTGCCTCCTCCCTAAGGAAATTAATATTTTAAATGCTGCACTGTCTGATCTTACTTTGTGTTTAAGAGATGTTGGGTTCCTGTTCAGATTTACACAGTCTGAGCTCCATGTGGAAATTAAGACCATAGTTTTACTTTCTATTGCTTTCTCTGCTGTTGTTCCTGTTCCAGGCAGAAGTCCAGGCGATGCAGATGGAAGTTATCTGTCCTCCAGATCCTCTTTTCTACAGTGATAGATTAGGGGCCATAATGAGATTTCACCTGGGTCACTACAGCTAACGCAGTGGAAGAGCAAGACTTTTCTCTATAGAAAGCTTTGTGTGCACTTGGAATGGAGAATTCTCCTGCCTCGCAGTCTCCCAGATCTGTGCGTCTGTCCTATAAGCTTCCAATGAGATTTAAGAGATGCTTGTGTCCTGTCCCAAAATTGGCATGAGTCGGAATTTTACTTTGAAATTCCACTCAGCATGCAGAAGCCTTGCTCAAATGCCCACCATGGAGAGAGGAAAACTCTCCTGCTGGGTGCTGCCTTGAGATCATACAAACAGAATGGATTTCATCCTAACAGGGTTCCTGAAGTGCAGAAAGCAAAGCAGAAAGACAAATAGAAAGTGAGTGCTCTCAGGTCCACGAGAATGAAGCCACATACAAAGGTGCTGTGAACTTCTTGAGTGCTGAAAATAACTTTTTGCATTTTGCTCTCAAGTAGCACAACTGCAAACCCTGAAGCCAAACAGAAAGCCAACAAAGCCAACAATCGTTGCTTTTCAGTGAGAATGCTTCATCCATTATTTCAATCAGAAAAAACTAAAAATCAAGATAAGTGGAAATTTGGTGGGTATATTTTGAAATGGAAATGAGGTGGTTATATATTCATATTCTCTGTGTTCATAGGCATGTTTGCATTAATTACAGGAAATGAATACTAATTTATGATTGCCCCTGCTCGCCATCAGACTGCATTTATTTACAGATGAGGTCAATGAAAAATTAGTTTAGTCTTTTTTACTGCTGTTTAGAACACTCAAGACTGTGTTTTCCTCTAGATTTGTCATGGTTAATGAATGTTGCTTCAGCAGTCAATCATGTACTCTAAATGCTGTCACACTTTTTTTTAAAGCCTCAGTCATGAACCATGACAGAAAAATAAACAAATAAATATAAAACTAAAAAACTCTTTTCACTGAGCAGCTACACTATGCAAAAATCTCCAGGGAAGGTTAAAGGAGGCCAGAATAAATGATAATATAAGTGCTGTGGACATAGAAAAGCAATAAAGGTGTACCAACACTGAGGGTCTGGCAAAAAAGCTCAACACGCACACGCACACACACTCTCCAGTGAAAAAACTGGCAATGTTAGTAGCCTCAAGGTGCAATTTCCTGGAGCACTGAGATTGACAAGCCAGCACTAAATGTTGTTAATTTAACTAACTTCAAATTAATGGCAGAGTCTGCAGTGGCCGAACCCCTCAAACACAGTCTCATTATAGCCTTGCTGGGAATGTCCTAAATATAGGCATTGACAGTTTAAAACAAATTCGCATACATTGGTGTATTTTTAGACACAAGTAAGGCGTCAGAGTTTGTGTCATGGTATAGGGTTGATTAATTGAGTTGGTAAGTCACCCTCCAGCCCACAAACTGGGCATTAAAATGCCCATGAAGGAATACAAAGGAGTTTTAGAATTACAATATGTAGTTATAAGCGATATTGGTATTCTGGTAAAGTGAGAAGGTCTGTTTTGTATTTGGATTTTCACTGGTTCTGTAGATCTTTGAAATTCTCGTTGAAGTGAGATTTTAGGCCATTTGAAGAGTAGGATTGAGGAGTCTGTGCGTAATGGAAGTGATGGATTTCAACACAACCTGTCACCTGAAGGCAGCAGAGCTAAAATCAAAAGGATAATCAAAATAAACCAAAGTCTAGACAACCCATCACCCTTTCATTTTGATGACAAACTCTGTATTTCAGACCATGGCATTTGAATCACTCAGTTCTTGCATCCATATTTTTAAAGATCTTTTCCTCAGCATTGACACTGACTCTCCTGTCCCACTGTTAATCACATTAGAAGCTCAGCCTGATTCATCACTTGGTGTATTTGACATAGAGAACAAAAAACATCTACTGAGCATGCATTCAAGAAGCAGACATTGCTGCAGATGCCCTCCAGCACTGTGGCACTACTGCTGGTAAAATAATCCTTAGGATAAAAACCAGGCAATTTTTGTGTGTGAAGTAATTAATTTGCCAAAAGAGCAGCAAATCTAATCTACAGGCAATTATGTAAATCAATTAAATTTGTGTCTTTACTTACAGTGTGGGCTTTCCTTTGCCCCAACGTGTAGAAGGGTCCTAGCAATAGGGACGTTGTTTGTCAAAATGGCAATGTCCAAAGGAGTTAGTCCCTCACTGTTTGGTGTGTTCAGGTCCAGTTCTTCCAGTGTGTATTGATAAAGAAGAATTTGAACAGCATCCAGATCTTGCTGTTCTACAGCCTCAAACATAGCTTCATTGCACTGGAAATTCTGTGTATAAATAAAATGAGAAAGTCAATAAAACTTTTCAAATGTCAGTGTTTTAAAAATAAAATGAGAAAGTTTGTACTTTTTGAGATTGCTGTAAAATACCAATCCTCTGGCCACAGCTTAGGTTCAGCTGGAAATGTGGAAAAGGTTTGCAGCAAAACTGTGCTCTGTCTGCTTCTGGACCTTGTGTGCTTGAACTTGCTGCATGTCCCTGGAAATATTCAAATGAGATTCAAGCCTACACAAAACAAACCCATATTTATTTGGACATCTGTCCTATAATTGAACTCTATGAGGAGTATTTTATGTTTTCAGTGTGAAACTGGATGAAACACTGATTTTTGCAGAGTTTTGGACTACTGAGTTTTCAAACTCAGGTGATCAAACAAGCTGTTCTGGAGAAAACCCTTCACAGCTCCAGTGTGAGCAGTAACAGGTACTCTTCATTCAAACACTTCAGTCATTTCTAGGTGCTTGCAGTTCTGCATTTAGTTGGAAGTAGAAGCAGCTTTGAAATGTAGTCATTAAAGAAGTGAAACTGAAAAAATTGGCATGCCCAGAAAGTGATGTGTCTGAACAGCAGAGAACACAGGAGCCAAACCCCTGAACATACGTGGCACCAACTCTCAAGCAGGGAGAACCACTGAAACTTTTCCTTACCAATGTCAAGGAGGTAAAACAATGCTAGAATACCAAGAAACCTCTCACTTAAATGAGCGGGGGAGAAGAAGGTGCAGGAGAGTAGCATGGCCTGCAGGTTTCTGTTCCGAGAACATCCTTCTGGAGCCTACAGTAATGACATGCTATGTGCCAAGATTCTTTACATTCTCTCCCACTGTCCCATTGCCATAATTACCCAGTCGATTTTTCTCCTCTTAAGAATGAATCAGTAGAAGCAAGAGGCTCAGCTAAGCAAAGAGGGCTCAGCATGTGGTCACATAAAGGGACAGAGATCTGTGTGGATATATTGTGCCAGTGGGCATACTGGAGAAATACATACATAGAGAGGAAGTGATCCAGATACATGATGTGAACTGGATTCCTGTGCCCTGAAACCCACATGGATGAAACAGAAAATATAGAATTGAAACAGCCTTCTGCTGTGATTAGAAATAAGGATTTCAGCCACAGCAAGGCTTCATTTTCTTTTTTAAATTGATGTAGTTTTATTTGGCATATCCCTGTCCAAGTTTTGCTCTCAGGGAAACAGCACTTTCTGGAAGAGCACTGATCTGATGGAAGATCTTTTGTCTCCTCCTAAAAAGCATAGACTAATAGTTTGCTAGCAGTTCAGAAAGCTAGGGTCCACAGCTACCCTTTGGAATTTGATCAGTTCTAGAGGGTTTGTTTCAGTTGTGCTTCAGAAGTTCTTGGGCCTGACAAAATTCTTCTGCTCTACTGTTTTGCATACAAAGTATTGGTACCACGCTACAAAATACATATGTTAGATGACTATGTAAGGATGAGATGAATCACAAAGCAATAAAGCAAATCTAGGAGAGTAGTGCTGACTTGAGAATGTACCTTTTAGGCATTTAAGTACAAAAGATAGCTCATGCTGGAGAAATATTTATGCTGTAGTTTTCCATACAGAATAAAAGATACTACTTAAACAAGTGCTTCATCAAAATGGGTCTCTGTCAAATTCTTGCTTACAGTCTAGAGATTCTTCTCTAGACTGTAAGATTCAGAGTTAATTCCATTCTCAAATGCTTATCTCATACTGCAGTGTTAGGTGTAAGAGAAAAGGCTCAGAAAAAAGGAACAGTTAAATGGTAAGCAGCCAGATTTATCTTTCTTTATCCACCCCCCTGTCAAAGCAAAAGAATGTCTTTAAGGACATATACTGTCATTAAAGGGGGCACAGCTCCAGAAAATCTTAGAATAGAGGCCAGCGCATATTTCTCTTATTATAAGGTAAAACTTAAAGACATATTTTTACTGCAATGCAGCAGTTCTTTTCATTCCAGTAGCTCCACACATCTGCTGCCTTGTTTATACAGCACCTTATCATCCCGAGATCAGAGATCATGCTCTTATTCTCGTGTTTTAACCCTACTCTTGAAGTGCTCTGGCTAGAAATTAAATAATTTTAATTAATTTAATTCAAATGTCAAAATATTTTAATTAATATCATCAACTGCCACTCAAATCAATGCTATGCATTGAACAGCTGTACTCAAAATTAACTTAAATAGATCACTGATGTTCCACCTAAAGAGCTGGAAAAAATAGCAGCTGTGCTCCTTTGCTCTTTGAAACTTCATTATTATGAATGCAGAACTAAACTCATAGACTGAGTTTTCATATAAATTATTAGAAATGCAAAATGTATTCACCAATTCTCCAAAAATATACGTTAACACTGTAAGAAACATTAATTTCCTCACAGTTTACACCCATTTGAAATTAATTTTCTACTGATTTTGGAACTTCTTCTATACTGTTGTTTATGGAAAAAAAGGGTAGTTAAGCTTCAGAAGCATCTGCATTTTGATGCAATCAGGAAACAAGCAAAATTGTATTACTCTTGTAACTGATCACAGCTAGGAAAATCTACTTATTTAACAGTACATTCAGAAGGGGCTTACTACAAAGGGAACTGGTTGAAGTAAACTGAATGACTACATTAGTTTTCCTTTCTTTTAGTGAAGTTTATCTTAGGAAACATGGGCTAATGGTCTGAGAACAGAACAAAAAGGTCCTACTGATGATACTGCTTAATAACAGGCTTGTGGTCCTCACTTAGGGCAGAAAATTACCTATTCCTTGGTTCACATTTCCAGTGCTGTGGCACTGGGTACATACAGGGTTTTTGCCTTTTCTGAGATCAGAATGGCCATTCTCTTTTAATTTACTTGGTATTTGAGCATAAAAGTTAAATGAATTGGCATTTGTAGTGTGCTACCCTAGGCACTCAATACCATTACTTGGCTTTAATTCCAATTTTGGGTGAAACTCATTAAATCCTATATTACATTTCAGGAGTTCCTTGCGCTATATGAAAACAAAACATCTCTGTTACATAATAAAACAAATGATGGCGAGGTTCAGTATCACAGCTGAAATTAACCTAATGATACAGCTGACAAAATCATCTGGCCATTTTCACACATATGTACACACATTTTACCTACCTGAATGATTACTGTAGAGTTACTGTTAAACGTTTGATTTGGATTCAGTTGTCAAAATTCAGACCTGCCTCGATGCCTTTCAAAATGCATCTTTATATTTTTTTTTGCTTGCCAAATGAAATACCTGAGGTATATGTGAAATTTTAGCCTTAAGTTGCTGAACAGAATCTAAGCACACGCTTAAGTTAATTCCCCATAAATGCTCTTGCCAGCTAATCTGTTGGCAAGGACGTTTCACCAAAAGGGGAAAAATAAGAGCAAATTTCTATTTCTTCATTTCATTAGAAAACTAATTGAAAAAGCTGCACTGATTTAAACAAGAAACAGAGCATGAATTTTATAAGCTACTTCATCCAATCCAAGCAATTATGAGACCAAATTGCAAATATCAGGTTTTCCAAATGAACAATTCAGACACAAGCAATAGGCTTCAGCAATAGGCTGAAATATGCTGGCACGTCTCATCACTTCAAAGAGCGTAAAAACATGGGAGCTGTGATATGGCCTTTCTAACTGGGCATGTATGCATCCCCTCATCCACATAGCAGTGCTCATCTAACCACACTATTGCTATTTCGGTCAGAAACATCCTTGCCAGACAGCAAAATATCTACCACATTTTCAGCCATGCCAGTAGACTGCCCTGTTTGGATGTCTGCATCGAGCCCAGCTCTCCAAGTCTACAAAAACACTTGACACACCTGACCAACTTTTCCCCAGCTATTTGCTTTCACAGAGAAAACAGAAATGTATTTGAAGATTATATAGTTTTCTGCCAAAAGCTGATCATATTGAGTGTAAAGCACTCTCTAGAATTGCAGCCAAGGAGTAAGAAACTCAAAGAGTGTTAAGATAGTTTCTTTAGACCCATGTGCGCAATTTTAGCCCCACTGGTATTATCACAAATGTTAACAAGAGCTTTCTGATTTTTGCCTTCATTTACATTTACTGGATAACTTTTGCTTTGAAGGGACAAAACCACTGAATTCAAACAAATTGAATCCCATTTACAAGTGATCGGCTAAAGCTTAGGGGCATTTTTTACATTGCTTTTCCCTTGACTCAGTTCTACAACCTCTAATCATTAGGTAGACAGCTGTGCTATGTGATTAATTTATTTAGGTGTTACTCTGATGCACAAATGTGTATACTGAAAAGGACTACAGTATTGCTTTGCAGTAAGTAATAACCATGTTCCAGTAAGTGATTCAGTGCTGGAGTGTTTAGAAATGCGATCTTATGTAGCTTAATTAAAATGAAGTGCCCCTTTCAAGATATTTGCTCTAGGTTTGACTGAAAAAGTCCACTATGTGCTACTGGAGTCGGAAAAAACATTAAAGTAGTTTCTGCAAAGACTTGTTTTGATAAACATGAGTTCAAGAATAAAGCTATTTTGGGACATTGCTATGTCTGCAGCAAGACAACAATTTACTGAATGGAAAGTGTTGCACAGCAAGAGAGAATGGAAAGAAAACTCTTCACTGGCCAAAGCTGAAAGAAAACAAACCCGAACAACTGTTGTTCACTTGTCTGGAAACATGATTTTAGTCATTGGCTTTGCTTTGTAGCACAGAAACCCAATGATTAGAAAATACATCAGCTAGCAACTTGACCTGGAATGTTTCCACCCCTTCTCTGATGGATTCCTTGCTATTTATTTCTAGGGAAAACTGTGAAAACAACAGGCAAAATGGATAGAATGGGATCCAAAGACTTTTAAGTTCAGTTGGAGACTATTCACTGGCTTGTGGACATCAGCTGAGGCCCCAGGCTGGTAATACCTGGAGGTACCTATGACATCTTAAGTTCTCACAAAGTACTTTTTCTTCCTTTCTTGAATCACTTGTGTATATATATATATATATTTAATTCATATTTCGTTAAATTAATGCCAAGACCTTAGTCCTAAAATAAAGCATTATCACTTACATAGCTTGTCTTTGGCCTTCATGAAGGTCAGACTTTAACGCAGGATCATAAATGGTAATTCTATGAAGAGCATACAGCTCTGGTCAGGGAACAAAGTAAGATGATGAAAATTGCACAGATTAAAAGCAAACTGAGTAAGGAGATGAATAGGACAGTAAAATGCCAATTTGATAAATATCAAGTAATTACCATTGAGGTCTTACGGAGGCTGAGCCGGTCAGATCGAGCTCTGAAATACGCTTCGTCAAAGGATGTATGACTCCCCTTGAGCTTCTCTGACAGGTTCCGATATAGCCGCTTGGCAGCATTTGGGGAGGAAGGCATGCTGTTCTTTTTAGTCTGGAGGAGACTTAAGTTATGCATTTGCTGTGTCATTTTCAGCTAGTGGTTTCTAGAAGAAAAGCAACAGCTGTTTAGCAAGGTTTTACTGCACTAACATCATTGATCAGAGCTGTATCATTGAAACGCACATTGTAAGACTTCTGTGACAAAAATCACTTTCATACTTTTCATACACACGAACACTCAGAAGCATGGTTTTGAGCTTGTTCAGGGGCAAATTGCTCTTTATTTAGTGCCAGGATATCTATGGCTAGGGAGAATTAAGGATGGAAAAATAAACCACACCAGAACTGTTTGCTAATTTGTATAAGGAGAAGGGGTTTCATTTAGTTGAGGAAGCAGCCTTTTGATGGTGTGAGTTCTGGTCATGCAGGAGTCAGAAAAAATTACACCCAAATGTAAATGTTACAATACAGTTTGGGTAACATGCACATAACCTGCACTTTGTCAGTATGATGGTTTCTTAAAACTGAATCAATTGAGAGGAAAAAAAAATCTAACTGATTATGGAACACAATGCAGGACTGAATTTTATAACTGGTCAAGTGACTTATATTTGACACAGACAACTGTGGCAAGATGTGCTTTATTTCCAGCATTACTACCTGCTAGAAAACTGTGCTCTGAAAGCATGTGGTCTTTTCAGTTGGGTGGGTGGATTCTCCTTCTCCAGAGACTCAAGCGGTATTTCTCACTCAGAAAGAATGGCTGAATTCAAAATACTTGTTCATCTCTGAACCCATCACAAGCTACTACAGAAATAATGCATGAACATACATTTAATCTGCATCACATGCTGACATGTTATCATCCATATGAAAGTCCATTGCTACAGAGAATGTTTTTGTTAGTTTTGAGGAGCGTTTGGCAGGGAGGGAACCTGCTCTGTAACTGAGACTCCAAAGGTATTAAGCTGGAGCAAATAACAGCTGAAACACAGAAAACCTACTTGGGCTCTGCTGTAGGCATAATGAGGCATATGTGCATTTTTAGTTTAAACCACCTGTGGCCAACTAGTGTTCAGGTTATTGCAAAAAAAAAAAAACAACCCAACCCTTACATTGTTTTACAGGTAAAATAATCTGTGAATCTAATATATGCTGGTTACAGTCTCATACTGAGTAGTTTCTTCCCTCATTTAATGAGCAGGCATTGACATCGTCTATGTATTGTGTAACTATATCCTGCTCTCTGTTTGCCCTGCCCATTTAGACTACAAACTCTTCCAAGAGGGACTGCCTCCTCTCTCCAAGACTGACTAGCCTAATAGGATTTCCGTATTATCCCATAATTAAACAACACTTTCTATGCTCTACGATTACAGCCATTTTTCCCTATTAGGAAAAACTGAATTAGTACTTAACTCTCTGGGAATAGTTTTGCCTTTCTGAAGGAAAACAAAGAATCAGATTTGACCCAACTGCAAGCACAGGAAAATATCCCCAGGGATGTCTGTGAAAGGGTGACAAATTTCTTCACATTTCCTTTTTCCCCTGATAAGAGTGTGTACACATTTGTAAGACAGAACATCTCTCTGGAAGACCTCACAGATGTGACAGTAGACCTGTCTACCCTTTCAGACTGTCTTTTCCTGGAAATAATCTTTAGATTCTTTGTACTATGTACTGTGCTACAGATCCTGTAACTTTCTGTTCTTACGGTCTCAGCCTGTGCCTAAGTAGATCAGACTGCAAGACCAGACTCTAATAACTATAATCATAAAAACTTTCTTTACTAAACACTCTCCCTGCTGTTGAGGCTGCTTGGTGACATGAATTGTCCCCTAAGATTAAAGACACCACCCAGGTCTCATAAGCTTCCTACACCTTCTTTTCTCATTTGTATCTTGTGGTCCTGAGCGCAAAAGTATTTGATTACAAATAGTCTCACATATTCTCCAAGCTCATGAGGTATTGGAGACCAAACCTCTGAATGAAGAGAGATTGAGTCAACATAATTGACATGTGTGATGAGAAGACTTTGATAAATTAGAACAACAGTGTGTGCAATCAGAAGGGAATTACGTGAGTTGCATCCTTGAAACTAATATGCAAGTGGGGATGTGATAAGAAATGAGCTTTCTGGGACTCAAGGAATGACAATACTACAATGATTTTGGGCTGCTTCTCTCTGAGCTTATGGAATAAAGGTAATGTGAGGCACACACAAGCAATTATTTCTGCCTTTTAATTATTACATGCATTTCAGCAGCGCCTACAAGGACTAACAGAAATCACTGTCTCTTCAAAGGAAGTGGTTTATTCTCCGCCCTGCAAAACAGACTAGATAGAAAGGCTTAGTAGAAACCAAGAAACAGAGCAAATCAAAGTCATTGTCGTGAGAAGCTGCTTGTCAACATCAGACTAGAGCAAAACACTAAAATTATGATCACCAATGCCAACTCACAAATGTTCCAGACATGCCAGAGTGTTCTGGAGCCATGTGCTGGAATAAGTGTGGGTTAGGAAGTTAGAACAGCTAGAACTGTACGGAAGTTGCTGGTAAGTGTTGAGTCTTAATACTGGGCAAACTTAGAAGAAGACAGCCTTTTGTTTTACAGATGCATCTGTGGAACCGTTTGGGAGGATAAACATGAAATAAAATTCTTTTTTAGGATGGTGAAAAGATTTCATTCACATCTGTCTCTGTTTAGCAGAGCTTCAACACTTCTGTTTGTTTTCAGTATTTATTACAAATAAGCTTAAGAAATAGCCAATTACCCCCAAAGCTGAATACTCATCTTCCACTGGCCCATCTTATTGGAATTTTAAAGGAATTCAGTAATTTACCCAATGATAATAATAATTAGCAACAATAATAATTTCATTCTCAGCTAGAGTAACACTTCCATAGTTTTTATTAGTATATGGAGCTACAGATCATCCCATACAAATTTCTCCTCTTGCCTTTGCTTGCAAGAGCTTCTTCCTTTCACCTATAAAGTATGGGTCAAGAATCAGCCTCAAATTACAGATAAAAACACACCAATAAATGTCATAGGAATGCTCTTAAAGGAAGTTTCAATTTCTTAAAATCATTTAATTCCAAGAGTACAGTCATTGAAGTCCAAATACCATGCAGTTAGTAATAAACTCATGACAGAGAGAACAATTTGCATTTACCACACAAACCTAAACATCATCAAGACAAGGATAAAAAAAGAAGAGCAGAGCTGTGCAATACTTAATTCAGAGGTAACTCAGCATAAAAACTGCTTTATTGGCCAGCAACAGGGTGCTTTAAAAGCCAAATTCAAATACAAATGAATATACATTTGTTACCATTATGAAAGCTTTACTTTTTTGATTGGCAGATACTGACCCAGTATTACCGCCCTTTTAAAAGCATATTGCAGAGAGAAAAATAAAAAATTAAATACCTAAATTCTAGATCACTGTCTGTGGTATGTGGCACATATGTGCTGAACTGTACAGACAGGTGCACTAGCAGGACACAGCCTAGCTGGAAAAGCATTAGCTTTAGGAAAATACAACAGCCAAGAAACAAATAATAAATATGTTAAGAAACATAAATTTATGAGACAATTTTACACTTGAAACTAATAATTAGGTATCAATGCATTAAAGAGTTAAATGTGACTTACCAGCTTAGGCTATTCCAGGCAAAGCGTGAACAAGTTGCTGGTAATTGTCCACTGTCACTGATGATTCACATTGGTTTTGCTTTCTCTGCTGCTTCAGCCTCTGGGCAAAATGAGAAAACCTCTTCCTTACACTGCATGAATGATCAGATATGAAAAAGCTTATTACCAGCAATTACTGAAGTCCAAGCTCATTGATAAGATCTGAGCAAACCAGCATTTAAAAGCAAATAGTGCTGTATCACAAGTAAAATGTTTGGTACCTTAACTCTGTCCTAGCTACCTGTGCAGCTATAGGAATGACTGATACATAAAGCTCTTGCCTCCATAGTCAAAGATGATTCGAGTTCTGTGTGCTTTCAGCTTGGTGCATCCCTTAAAATTGATCAGCAGCACAGAGTACGAGTAGGAAAAATAATTACTGCCAGAGTAAACAGAACTGTGATTGTAATTAATTTGCCATGAAGTAGTAGCAAAAAGACGCTAATGCAGCCATCTTAAAGCAGTTAGTTTTATGTTAAATCAATAAAAGTGGGGGGAAGGGGGGGGGAAGAGGGAAGAATCACAGTCCTACACTCAGTCCTTTAATGCATGTTGCATGTGATGTATTGTTTCTTCTTTCTTCAAGCTATCACTACAGCTGTCTGCAATCATAGAAACAAAAGCAGCAACCGCATCCATAGCTATGGGACATCTGTGAGACCATTTGGAAGCTCCCAGCCTGAACAGGTTATGCTTAAATTAAGATTATTAAATAAATGAGAAAAACATATTTTATTGATGCCTCTGTTTCAGGTAAACCAGATCCTGTAATGGCTGCATTAAGAGCTTCCAAAAATTGTAGAATGGGGACATTTCAAAATACTTTTTTTTTTTCTACCATAGGAAAAAAAAAAATGCAAATGCTGAATCCCACAGCACCCCACAAAGATGTTCCAAAATCAGAATATGGAATAACCATACCCAGCCTTAGACCTCTAAACCTAGTGTAGATGATAAGCAAAGACAACAGCCTAGCAAATAGTTATCCTTTCTGGAGAGTCCAGTGGGTTAAATTCATGTAACCGAAACACTCCTGAGGAACACCTGGCAATAGACAAAACTCAAAACAGATTCCTGTGTCTGCCATAGCCAATGATCATTAATAGCTACAGAAAAGGTGGGGTTTATTGCTGTTAAAGGGATAATGGGGCTACTGTGGCAATCTGCTGGGAAAATTTGACTTGCTTTATTCAGACATGGTGTTTGAAGTTTGAAACCTCCCAAAAGCCAGTGACCAGTCTGATTCTCCCACCCTTCAAAACCAGGTTAGGGGTACTGTACCTCATACCAAATAGCACCTTTTTGCCAAAGAAGCTAAAATCTTGGGCCTGACAGTTATATCTCATAGGACTTACTATATACTTTTCGAACTAATCTGGATATGAACCTAACCAAAAAATGATTTTTCTGTATGCACATTTGCATTTCCTCCCATCCAGCCTGGATTTCCCCTCTTTTAGTTTAAAACCATCACCCTTTCTCCTGTCACAAAGGACCTTGCTAAAAAGTCTCTCCCAAATGGCATATATATTATTATATTGCATATTCCCTGCATATTTTGCTGCAGCAGAGAACTACAAGTGTGATGACAATGAGCTATGCACAACATTCCTTCTCCTACACCATGAACATCACAAGCTAATCGTGTACGGGATTCCCTCTTTTGTTCTGCTGCTCCAAGGACCAGTAGCGAGAAGACTGCAGGACAGCTGACTGAGGTTACTGCTCCCTGCCAAGGAACTCTTCCGAAAACCACTGAATACCTCTCTAACACTGGGATACTATCTGGGAAAGAAACATGCTGCAAATCTGAGATGCCTAAATTAGTTAAAATTAAATGTAAGCAGAAAGATCCCATTTTCAGTGCTGTGCTGAATAGGGATGATTCTTCTGAGTCAAAATCCCTGATTAAGTTTTTTTTGGTCTCTATAGAGCCCATCTATGGAACTCACTTGTGAGGGAATTCTCAACTATTTTCAGGGCAAAAACCTGAAGTGTGTTTACTGAAACCAGGCTATATAGCAATTGCTCATTGTGGGGCAATACTCCCCCCTCTCTCCTTTGCTTTCTCCCTTCAGCTTGGTGGAAAGTAGAACTTTTGCTATTGCCATTTCAATATTTATAATGCTTAATACATCAACTCAGACATTATTAAGAGCATTAAAAGACATTTTCTTGCCCAAGTTAGTTCTATGAAAGACAATTAGTTTGTTTATATTAAGCAAACAGATTTCTAACCTTTTTGTCATATGAACTTAAATTCATCATTAAGCTGCTCAAAAGCCAGAAGACATAAAGCAACGCTCAGAAAGTAAAAGAATTATGAATTTACTGAACAACAAAACCATGAAATTAATTACTAAAAATGCTGAATGAATGTGTGCAAGTGTGAGAGACACCTACATCTGGAGGTGAAGTAGACTTAAACATCTACAGAAACCAAAATCCTGGTTTTATGATAAAACACATGTAAGCTGTTAGCCTGATCTTGTACAGAAAGCTGACTGTTCTTAGCTTTTGATGATTCCATTAGATGGCTCAAAGATTTCGGCCATTTATTATTTCCCTTGCCTATATTTCATACTAATTGAACAGATTATTTTGCTTGCTGTACTTATACTACTTAACCTGCTGCGACAGGCTTTCATTCCATGTTTCATCCCTCTGAAGTTTATCTACATGCAGTACACATCATGAGCTGGCTCCACAAGCTGCTATCATTATTATTACTACTGCTAAAGTGAAGATATCCTGAAGATGTACAGTAAGCAGTACACTTCGTTTAGAGAGGCCACCCAAGTTGGCTGATTAACTGTGAAAATGTTTATCCTGTATTGTTCTCAGCTTTATACACCACAGATATTTTTAGGAGCCAAGCATCACATTGTGTTGGCCATTAACTCCATGAAGCAAGTCCTGTTTGTTTCTTCTGGACACCGGGCACAGTTCTGGCATGAGGGAGGCTGCTCTCACAAAGAGGTTGGGAAGCTCACAGCTGCTCTGTGTGAAGTCTCAGGGTAGCTGGAGACACTCATTTTCACGTCGGCAATCAATAGGTGGCAGTATCCACCCAGGTCTTCAAACCCCTCATGTGGTCCATGGAGCAGCAGCCTCACACAGGTATCACATTGTCCCAAAGTACACAATGTCCAAAGGGTAATTGCAGATGGCAGCTCAGTAGCAAGCACGTCCTCCACGTATAGAATCCAACGCTCCTCGAGTTTATATCACCTTGTGTTCTGACGGTATGCACACACTCAGCTTGTGAAGAACACTTGATAGACCAATAGTCTGGAAACTGGGTGGGAAGTCTGGAGCAAAGAAACTCAGACATGCGGAACTTGAAAACTTCATGTGGAGCCTGACCTTACTTCCTAATCAGTCAATGGAAAAGCTGTCATCATCATTAGAGACAAAGCTGTATCTTAGACTTTTCATGATCCCCCTAAAAGAACAAATGCTGCTCAAACATCAGATGTGACGTCCTCTACCCTGTCATGGCTGGGATCAAGCAATAGAGCCAGGCAGATCAGATAACTGGGGATGGGATGTCCAGCCTCTCCCAAAGTCACATGGTCAGTCCAACTCTGACTTCTGTATGCTCTCTTTTTGGAAATCCATGACTAGAAAGGTGTTAAAATGACTCTGCTCAGACATTGAGGGGTTTTTCTCATGCAGCCAAAAATATACAATGGGAAAGGTTAAGACAAAAAAAAAAAAATCCAACCCCCCCCAAATCCCAAACAAGCCTATAGAAGTGTATCTTCGTCTCCACACTTACTCTTTGCTGCAGATTTTTATACATATAAGCTACTGTAGTGAATTCCAACTCTGGTTTTGGCAATTTCTGCCTCTCTGGCTCCCTGTTTACCTATCATCTTTCACACGTATCCTTTTGCCAATCTGTTCATTCCCTGTCCTATTCCCTGGTCTCTTGTATTTCCTCAAGGACATTGATCTGAGTCTTACTGTTTCACTAGTTTCTTTCGCCGGTGTTCTTGATCCAGATCCATAGCAAATAACCTATTATCCACAGAGACACAGAAGTATTCAGTATGTTCATAAAAAAAGACAAATATTTCCCAGTTCATCAGTCATAGACGTGATCAAACTCAAGAAATTCTGAAATTGTGAGTGAAGAAAAAATAATTGTCTTTGGATTAAGTTTAGAAAATTTCCCAATGAAATAATTCCACCAAGTGTTTTGAAATATTTGAGACACCCATGATGTAAGTGGCTAAAAGAAATCGAGCTTGGCAGCCCCAGCTCCTCCAGGCTTCCTGCCTTTGCTGTGGTTCCTAATCTCAGCACAACCTGGATTTCAACACGCTCTGCTGCAGGCCTGAAGCTGGCAGATATGTCAGTGCCTGGGACTTGCACACTCCCACTTCCACAGGAAGGGACATGGAGGCCAGGAGATCTCCAGCTTTGTGGCAGCTTGGATGGCAGCAGTGCCTTGGAGCTGCAAGCCCTGGTCGCTTGTATTTCACAGTATGGGTTTAAGTGAACTAGTAGGACTGTAGAACTGTTTGGCTGGAATTCTTCAAAGATGGCATGAGTTTTGTACAGTTTGCTTTCAACAAAGTGGCTTCCCCCCCAGTCTTTTTAATTGGAAGATTCCAGAGAAAAACGATCCCTGGCTGCAGTGGAATAGAATCAGGCCTGAAGCATTTGAGGCACAAACCAGTACTTAGTTATTTGGGATCATTTGGGGTGTAAGTTAAACAGAAATCCCTTAACCTAAAAAGTTTGTCAGGTCCTTCAAGCCATTACTGTTTGAAACAAGGGATCAAAGAGCAGCATGTGGATCCTAAGTGATCCACATGCATACCACAAGATGCTCACGGACATGGCTTGATGGAAATGCTGCCCTATTGCAAAACCAAGGTAGAGCAGGACACTCTTTGCTAACAGGTCCTGCAGTCATTCTCCATATTAGGAGAAAACCTAAACCTGTGCAAATACATCTTCAGAAAGGGTATAAAAGAACATACAGACCATCACACGTATCTGAAGATATTGCTGTTCTCCAGAAGCAAATTACCCAGCTGAACATCATAGGAATAATGAAGTTGTCAGCAAGAACAGCTCA